GTGTTTACTTGTTGTTTTCGTATCTTGTTGTTATTGCGTAATTTTGTTAAAATTTTCGTCGTGATTACTTCTGAAGTTGTTTCTAGTCTTCTACATCCATGAATGAATTGATTGATGTTAAGGACAGCAGATGGGTCGTATACGCCGGGGAGGCTAGGCTATTGCTGAGAATGAAATGCACACGGAGATAATTGTTAGCTGTGGTCCCACACGCCGGGGAGAAAGAGTGTAAACGACTGAGGCTCGCATGCGTCACCGTTACTAGAACTGAGGCAGAATGAGTGACAAGCGATTGCAGTGGTAATTGGTAGTGAGTAGATAAGAGGATGTGCGTAGAGTATCATGAGTTGGTGCTATGGTCACGTTGCATTCTGCAAGAGTCATTCTAGCAAGTGGCGATTGTGTTGCAAGATGTCAAGAGGAGGTCTCTGTCTGGAGGCGCAGGTCGTCAGCGATGTGTGAGATTGTGCTGTGGGTATGCTTGTGGTGTGTTGGCTTTTCTGTTTGTTTTCCATTTCAGCTCTGTCCGTGTGACCCAGGTTCTCGCAATGGCATCCAAGTCAACGTGCATTGGTCGTGAAGGAAAAAAGGGTTGGATCCCTTTTTTGCCGGGGAGTGTCAATGGAGTTGAAGATTGAACGATCAATTCTTGGTTGTTTGCTCAAAATCAACTTCCCCAATTTTCGCGGAGGCATCAATACGACAGTCATCGTCTCATCGGTCGCTGTTCAGAAAGAAGTCAGTAGCAAACCATCAGAAGTAATCTCGTGATTTATTATTGTAATATTTGTTCACAGACCTTAATAGAAATATTTTTTATATGTTGGTGTTACAATAAAGAATTCCCAAGCGGCCAATCGGTGTTTTGGTTTTCGCGTCCGTTACTATTAAGCGTTTCTGAAAAACTGCAAGGAACAGCGTGGGCCCGAGCGTAGCAAGAGCTGGGCATTAACGGTTTATGAGACGTGACTTACAAGGACTTATCTTCACCCACTTCCTCTGCTGTCGTTAAGATAGGCATCTCGCTATTAATTCTGCGACAAAACTTGTGTTGAGGTCACTCATGCAATTTATCGAAATCAACGTATTCTTTTAAGTCATCAGATTATCCAAAAACGCAGCGAGTGATTTGGAGTCATCTAGTAAGTGACTACCACTACCTTCAACAGCCTCGAATAAGTTCCCTACAATCATCGAAGTTCTTCCAAACTTTTGCGCAGTATACTCATGGCGTCGGAGTATCCTTCATTTGGCGTCATGAACCTGCGGCACTGTATAGCTCTTGAAGCAACTCCGGTGCAATACTTCAGCAAATACATCTACTTCATTTCATCATTTATTGCAAGCCCACTCAACATGACTTCAAACTCCTTTCCAAACTGTAAATAGTCAGCCGCTTTTTCATAGAAACACCGAGGTTCATATTTAGGCAGTTTAAAATTCCTATTATCCCTAGACGGCGAAACATGAACAACAGACTCATCATGCAGCGCATCATATATATCATTACGATTAACAAGCAACTCAGGATTACTTACATTCCTGCTTGCTTCCAAGACTTTTTGTCCCTTCTTTGACCCGGGCATCACTGAACTTGACCGAAATTCCAGAATAGTTCCAGATAATACTTCTCAAGGAAAACTGGCAGGCACCAGGAAAGACGAACAGAAACTGTCAGCCAACTCTCAGGAACTGTCAATGCAAAGCTCTTACCACGCTGGACCTCACGCTGTCCCTGGAAGACTTTCAGAAACAATTTGTGATAACTAACGCGAAAAAACCAGAACACAGATTGGCGACTCGAGAATCCCTTATTCTTACGCCAATATGTAACGAACAATAAGGAATAAATGTTATAAAGATAAATCACAATAATACTTCTGATAGCTTTGTCTCTTCCAACGAACAGGGAACGATGAGACGATGACTGCTGGATTGATGACCAGCGAAAAATATGGAGTAGTTGGGTTTGGGCAAACAACCATGAATTGATCGTTCAGTCTTCAACTGCAGTGACACTAACGGTTCACCAGCTGGTGCCATAACTATCCGAAGTCACTTGATTGAAAGCCTCAAACATAGCTCCGTTACTGTGAATCGACTTATCCCATAAACAGTCAGAAGAGTTTCTTGGGTTGCTTCTGTTTGGGGAACGGGACACATTCCGACTTATTAGGGAAGAAGCCGAGGATGTGAGAGCTCTCTACCCTTTGCTTAGTACATAAACGTGCTTATACAGGACTCTTCATTATTTAGGTCTATTATTTGCGTCCTTTGTTTCACTTCTATCCTTCGCATTTGTCCTGTTTCTGATAAGTTTCTGGGTTAAGAGTTTCTATATTAGCTCATGAAATCGGTCTCTAGCAGAGCCATACGGACCAGTCTACAGCTCTCGTCATACCATTTTTACACTTCGCCCATCCTGTTAATCGAATCGGTACCTGTCTTGCACTGGCCTACTAGGTAGCCGACATCCCACCAATCTTATAAAGGGTGATACTCCACAGCGTGATTTCAAATGTTTTAGGAATTTGTCTTAATGTCTGCGCATACAAACTGACTTCAGTTCTATTTGGCGTTTTTCGCTCTGCCTTCAGCACGTGTATACTTTGAGATCGTAATACCGTCATATTCGTTAGATAAGTTATGAATCTTTCCCCCCGGATAGTTTGGATATTTTATTCTACTCTAATACGCTGCTTGCAAGAGCACATTTCCAGTTAACTTAGTCTTTTTGGTTTGTGTTATTTCATCACCACAAACAGGTTGGGAAGAGTACCGAATTATTGCGTAAATAAAAGAATTACGTTAACTAAGGGCTGATCAGGAGTGGCTTATCCACAGTACTGCATGCAACTTACGGCTCCGAGGCTGGACTAGTATGCTGAGATGAAAAGTTACACAAATAAATTTATAAATAAATAAATTTATAAATAAATAAATTTATTCTCATGATACATTACATGAGGGACGCCAGTTTACAGGCATCATCAAATTGTTACAGAAATAGGACCATATGATTCAGTCACATTTTACAATCGATAGCAAAATATGTTTAACATGTACACTGGAGATTATACATACACTTGATAAATGTTAATCCCAATAGTATAAAACATCCTTTTCACTTATGCACAATCATTTCTGTGCATAGTTGGAAAAATCTACTAGATTGTCAGTGAGTGCAACACATCAGGAAATACAGAAGTATTGTCTTCGCATTAACAAAAAAACCAGGTCTTTGGTGGATGGGTTATAAGTGCCTGGGAAAAAAAATAAAGCTTGAAGTCAATTTTCGTACAATACCTTGTTGTGTGCAGAGTCCTTGAATTATAGTTCATTGATGTGTTATTTTGAAATCAGTGATATGTTTATCTCATTTGATCTGCAATGTCATTGTTGGGAGTAAAATACATAAGCTTTAGACGCATTAATTAATGGATTTCTACTGCTTGTGGGTATTTACTTCTCGTGAGAAGGTTTTTGAATTTTAGTTGTTACGACATGAGTTGTGGATATTGACTGCTCAGCAACATTACGGATATAAGTTCATCACATTATCTCAGGAATGTTGGGTTGTAGTTGGTGAGGCATATATGATGTCCGACGAGCGTACATCTGTCCATGTGATGTTGTGGTGAGTTCTATCTTTTTCACGTTGTCGGTTTATGTCCATTTTATTCCACTTATTGTGTTGGGTAGAAGTTTTACGAACGAAACTTCTTGTCTTTTTGAGTATAAGTATCTTAATCGTTAATGTTTTATCTAAAATTATAAATATAGGCAAAAACAACAGGTGTAGTATTTGAGCTTATACATTAAATGGACCTATAATTTCGGAGGCTCTCAGATAGGAACTAGGACTACTGTCGTTTGCAAACTCGTATAGTTTTGTCGTTAAGCACTTTTTTGAATGAGGCCAATGTACCTGCTTGACGCATTTCCATTGGTAGTTTATTCCACATCTGTGCATACCTATCAAATAAAACTTTTGCCTGGTAGCTGTTTTAATAATAATAATAATAATAATCACTTTATTCCACAACAATAACAATTTACAGCATGGAATTTTCAGCGTTTTACATTGTTCGATAGCTACTGTACCCTTAGTGTGTCTTAGTTTGTAGCCACTGTCATCTGAAAGTCGAATGCCATTAGTAGAGGTAAAAACTAAGTGGTTTAGAAGCTTATAGTAAAGTGTTAAGTTTAGTCTCAGGCGTCTTAGCCATAGTGTTTCTAATCCTAGGGTTTCACATCTAGTGGAGTAGTTCGCACCATTTTCGGTTCCGAGTAATTTTGACGTGAAGTACCTCTGCACTCCCTCGACTTTCACATGCACCCTTGGCGGAAGCACTTTCATTTCAAAGGGCTTTGCTGGGATTAAAATATACCACCTACTATGACCTGCTTCACAAATTTGTCCCGGTTTTTATCTTCCGTCTTCATCTCTTTCCCTATCAGTCTTCCTTTTTAATACTTTATATCAACCTTCTTTAGTTGTGTTCAAGGCCCCAGAGTCTTCCCGCAGTACTCTCGCCTTACCTGCATTTGTTTTGGCAACCCATTCTCTCAGTTAACTTTTCAACCACGAAATTACAATTTCTTTACAATGTATGATGACCTCACTGTAGGGTTATCCGATGGTAGGGAATTTTTAAGTCTCAGTAACACTTATGTTTTGACACAAACTATACATTCTTTCCCAAATGAATCAGTTAAATTCCTCTCATAAAGCCAAATCGAGCTGCACTGGCAGGTGTGAATGATTTACTGGAATTCTCCCAAAACAGCTCCTCATAAGGGTATCGTTTCAAAATGACAAGAAGCAGGTGTTCCAATTTGTAAATACCGGATATTATACCTTTTAAAAATTAGAATAGATTATGGTGCTACGAAAACTAGAATTTAAGCAAACGTTTGCATAGTATTGTTTTTACTTAAAATTGAACAATGAATCAGCACATATTGGAAGTTGAATATCTTTAAACGACTCACATTTCACAACTTAGATAGCTGCACTTTAACAAACTGAAGGCCATGAGGTTTGCAATTTCTTTCGCTAGAGGTATGTTAAGGTACTGCATGATTCTTATCTACTAGGGCTCAGAAGTGCTTTGAGTAAAAGAGCTGCCACAGGCTGCTTTGTCGCTGGGGGGAGTCTTCTTGCATCTTATGCTGTCTATTCGTATTATGAATTTCCAACGCAGAAACCGTTGTTCACAGCATTATGTTCCACTAAAATTGCTCCCCAAGGATCGGTATGATGTAGGAATTTTAATGTTGCGATTTTACTTAGGTTGTAAGTGAGACAAAAGCACATGCTGTTTATCTTACGATTCACTTGGATCCACGAGCATCAGCACATGACTGTTTGAGATCCATTGGACAAATCAAGGTAATGGTTGTAATTCTAGTGTTTCCATTTATCTTTTTTTGCGAAATACGGAGATGATGTGCTCCATTTATATTCTGCACCGTATACGATGTAGAAACGCTTCCAACCGCGCTTTAAATTCCTTTTTCTCGATACTGTCAGCTATTGATCATCACTTTAAAACCTGTGTCAAAATCGCAAGTATATGCTAGGATCGACCCTCCGCCTGAAAATCCTGTAAGGTCCTCATTGACATTACTAACCCTCGTCTCAGTATTATATTTGATAATATATGTACTACTGGACAGCTGTTTCGTCCTAGTTTGGGACTCTTCAGCAGTACGCACCCATCGGGATTCCAACCCAGGACCTTCTGGTTACAAGGCGAGCTCGTAGACCATTGAGCCACTGGGACCTGATCCAATGGTCCTTGAATTCTAACTTCTGCCAATTCACGACATAGCACGACCACTTCGCAATGTCTTCTACGATGAGTTACTGCCTCATCTTCAACCCGATGAAGAGTCCCAAACTAGAACGAAACAGCTGTCCAGTACTCCCAGGTTTTTCAGTGGTTCTCTAACTGATGTCAGCTCATGATGAAATCCTCCAACTAATCAAACAAAATCCCTACAAAACCAATCTGTCTGTCTGTCTGTTTTCGACATAGAACTTTGCACAATACTTGAAAATATATGTAGTATCAAATATAATTTAACCACAGTCAAATGTCGGCTTGTTCATCATTTTCAAACCATATTTAAAGCATTTAATACTGACATATAAAGTTAATTAGATAGTGTCTTTAAAAGTTTTGCTGTCAGATAGGTGACTTGGCTTTTGGACATTCCCTTGTTAGGCATCAATCAAGCATTAACCTTTACCTTTTCTTATTATGCTCTTTTAAATATTGATTTTAACATCTTAAAACTATAAACCCTTCAACTAAGTCTGTATTCCTATCTATTAAATGACGATTGGTCCTCCCACAATGCTGCTGTCGACTTATGTGTATAACATGTTGCTTTAAAGTCATTTTTTGAAAAGCTAATCGTTACAATTCATCTTAAACAAATTTGTGTTATTTTAAGTGTTATGTCTCATCCAGCTCCTTTCCTAATCTTACACTCTCTAGCAATATCTGTCAGGCCAAGTGAGAAACACTCAAGCCACATTTACAATATGCCAATAAAAATAGCAGACAGGAAGTTTGATAATCACACAAAGTAGGTTCTAGTTTAAAATGACAAGTATGTTGCAAGCCATTCAGCTTAGATGTAGAATCTATCGGATAGAGAAGTACATTAACTCTATTATCCTTGATTCATCATGTTAAGCACTCTGTTCTAGGTATGTGGGTTTGATTCCTGTTCTATCTGTCGATGTCTGTACAGTTAGCTAACGACAAAATTTGTGTGTATGTGTAGTTAGATGCATGTGGTTACGAGTGGTTATTGAGCGATGAACAGTAGACTGGCTTTGATTTTCAGCTGACGAAGTGTTTTGTTGCAGTTGATCGCTACGGTTTTACGGAGGAAATTTATGATACGAGTGTACAGTGTGCAAGACATTGTATTTATTTTACCAAAGTAAATGCAAAGTTCTATTTATTGGGTATTATAGTTTTGCGAAAGTTATCTCCTTTTTACACAGATTCAAGGGGATAAACAATTACTTTCACCGACCATGCACATGGTCCGGGGATCGATCCCCGTCCGACGCACTCCTTTGCCTGGCTAAATCAGAAATAAAGCTGGTGAAGAGGAAAGGTTGGGCATGAGGCTAGCAATCCCATCCTGTAAAAATCACCACTGCTACAGAAACTTCAAGCCTCTAGCTTGAAGCCCTATGTTCCACTGGGAAAATAAAGGAATTATGATAATGACATGTTTCGAGGTATAATCACCATATTTTACATCAGGTTATAGGGGAAAATTACAACAGACGTATGACAGCATGAATAAAATTCACTCTACCGCAATGAAAGCCTCTGACACACTTTCTTGCCTTCTTTATTGATTGATTGATTGCAGAAACATGTAGATGCAATCTGTCCACCTGATATGCGTAGCGAAGATGATGAAATTTTATATGGTGTTGGTTTCGGAGTTGAATTCCTGCAAAAAGTGTATCCTGACTTTAAATCTAAAGGAGTTAACAATTTTGAATATCGTGAAAGATCAGGGGCTTTAGGCGGATTACCTAAGACAGGTAAGCTTATTTTTCATCGTGCATAGATAAAAAAAGGATGTGTGTGTGTGTTTAGTCAGTAATTTTTTGTAGGAGAATAATTTTCCTCCCTTTAGCAGTTTGAGTTGATCGTTCTTTGGTTAGAGCTCATTCTAATTCCGGCACCTGCTTTTCTTTGGAGTCTGGTATTCTCCAGATTCACATATATGTTCAAGAATATGTTCAAATATCTTCACACATAGTTTAGAAAGGTTACTATTCTCCATGCAGTTTGTTGTCTTCTCTCTCCCCTTTCCCCTAATTCCGCCCTAGACAAGAGCAAATGTAAATGTGAGTTGCATACATGAAGTCAAAAATCAAAGTGACTATCCTAATCCATTTTGTTTTTATTTACGAGTAAACTTGCCAGCTTGTTGAGGGAGTTTTGGAGTCATTCAAAAGTAGGGATTGTAGGAATCTCGGTGAGATGAAAATATGTCGTTGGAGCCCTACGTTCTACTAAGCCGAACGCTAGGAACGAAGAAAACAATAATAAGTCACAATTTGTAACATTTGTAGCCGTGATTAGTTTTGCTCAGGTTTCATGATAGCTATTATGTACCTCTTAATGGTTAGGCCTTCGGTTCACTGTTGTTAATGGAAGACAGTATTTCTTGATCTTCTACGGTGAAGCGAAGGAGGTAGCGCTTGCATTAGCATCCAAAGACTATATTTTCTCATTACTGTTGCTAAGCAACGAGTGAAAGTTATTCTAACAGGAAAATATTATCCAGTTCAATAACTAAATAAAATATTCACTGAAATATTATGATGGGAAAAGTTGGACAAAATATGGTTTCCTTGTTGCCTTAGTATTTATTATCTGGTGTAAAAGCGACACGAAGAATCGATAGGCTGCTCCGAAGGTATTTTGTTTTCAGGTTTACCAAGTATTTTTTTTTGTGTAATTTCATATTTCCGTTTCCAATTGATTGACATGTGTGTGTAATTCAATGCGCATAGAGTAATATGCTCTTACTGTGTTTTACATTTGTTTAAATTAGGTGGTGATATATTCATTCATGCAAAGTGTCATGAATATGGGAAGCTGTTTGAATTAACTCAAGCTGTCATCAATAACCTGCCATCTGGTTCTGTGGCTAAGTTTGAAGATATCTACGGTTGGGTTTATCGTAATGGACGTGATTTAAGCGGTTTCATTGATGGTAAGTGAAGTATTATTGTTATTATTTTAAATGAGAATATTTTGACACTTTTCTTATCATCTTCTGTTAGGAAAATGTTGAAAATCTGTATTTTACTTAGGTTGAGTGAATAGTTAATTTTATGACTTTCTCCATCACATTTGTTAAGTCCGATTGAGATAATGTACAGACGACCAGATCTGAGGAGGTGGTTGTCTTGAGTGGCCACTTCCAGAGGCTGTGACTTGCATTCTAGTTCAGAAGGCTATGGGTCAGCGCCAGGAGCTGTATTCTCATGGTGTCCGGTGACCACAACAAATTCAAACGCCATTCGATCCATATGTTCTGAATGTAGATTCCATGTATACCACTGGTTCGGAGTCTGGGTTTTCTACTTCCCCTGCTGGGTAGACGAGCATGTCCACCAGTCTGGTAAGTGTCAGACGTTCAAATTTGACCCTTCACCTGTTTGAGGAGCACCTTTGTCGTGTAAAGAATGTGAGTAGGACTTACCTGGCAGAAGGTATGTATCTGTGGCCACACGAGACACCATTTCGAGAGGAATACCGAAGTCTAACCACCATCAGCCGTACTAGGTCTTTTGTGGGAGGTATGTTTACCATATGCCTCCACACAAACTGTCACATTAGAGTTTGAAGTTTCATGCTGATTCATCTGTTGACTTTCACTTGAAGATATCTTTTAGATATAAGGCATTATTTTGTAGATATTGTGAGTTTTGGTTTGAAGTTGGGGTTAAGGTTAGGTTTAGAGAGAGAATGATTAAGAAAGACAGGGAACACTGAACAACGTATTCGTTCTAGTTTGGCATCCTTCAGCGTTGCTCAACCATGAGCTTACCACAAGTCAAACCTGGAATGAGACCTACACTAAAACTAATCTAAAATGCCCGACCGAAAGCTGCTACCTTGACGTGGTGGTCGGGCTTGAACACCGCAATGATCTATTCAAGCTATACTGGCTGAGACTTATGTCTCTTGAGGTACTACCATGCCAGGCAGGTTGTTTGGATAGCGGTTAAACAAAAAGCAGCTACCCAATCCAACATCATGTCCAATACAAAATCACAAAATTTCATGCCGGATCGGCCGTGGCCCGGATTAACAACGACCGCGCTTCCTGCTGCCGTGTCACAGGGCAGGAGTGATAAATCTGCTACTGAGACACACCAAACAAAAAGAACGAACAAAAACAGGCCGCGTGTGACCGGCCTCAAGCAGTTGTCCCCTGGGCTCTGCGGTCACGCAACCAACTTCCACGGTGTGGGCAGCCGGGAAGTAACAATCGCCCTCACAATCCGAAATGCACACGAAACCTCTCTATTACTCACTCATCTTTGTCTTCATCTTCATCTCTATCATCTTGCCTTCCTTCCACTGATGCAACTCCTCGACTTGATAGCTCTCCACTTCCTCTCCACTCTGCGTCCACTAAAAACGATGGAAGCCAAAAAACCACCACCGACAGCCTCTTAAAGCCGCGCCACCAATTTCATATAGGAGCTCTTAATGTTAGGACACTTTGCCAAATAGGACAACAAGCATCACTAGCCAAGACCCTGGCATCACGAGCCATTGATGTATGCTGTGTTTCAGAAACACGCATACAAGACCCAAGTGTGGTTATTCACCTAACCCCACCTGGCCAACAGGTTGAATCTGCAAAATTCACCTTGAGGGTGTCAGGAGATGCCACAGCTAGTTCACGAGGATTAGCTGGCGTAGGGATAGCTTTGAGTACTAGGGCAGAAAAGACATTGCTTGACTGGATCCCGGTAGATAGCCGAATGTGTGCTGTCCGCCTGAACGGATCAGTAAGAAGGAGGAAGGACTGCACTACTCGCCGATGCCTTTTCGTAATCTCCGCCTACGCCCCCACTGACTGCAGTTCAGATGAAACGAAGGATGAGTTCTACCAAAAGCTGTCTAGTTTGGTGGAAAGGCTAAACGCTCAGACATAGTCGTTCTAGCTGGTGACTTTAACGCTCAAGTAGGGAAATTGTGTCAATCTGAGAAGGATGTCGGTGGCACCTATGGAGCTCCGTGCCAGCGAACCGACAACGGTGACCGTCTCCTACAGTTCTGCTCTGATAATCATTTGTTTCTTGTAAGCACTAACTTTAAACACAAGGAGAGACACTGTTTGACTTGGAGACCCCCTTCATCAAACCAACGCTGGACACAAATAGACCACATAGCAATAAGCTATCGTTGGCGTGGGTCGGTAGGAGATTGTCGCTCCTTCTGGAACACGTGCGTAGATACCGACCATGCACTGGTCCGCGCTCGGGTGTGCTTACGACTGAACGGACGTAGGAAACAGCTGGCGGTAAAACCATCACGTCCCCAGCTCGATCAGGAAACTAAATCCGTATTTGAGGAAGAACTAGCTAAACACATATCTGTGTTCGACAGCTGTGCTCACCCTGAAGAAGCTTGGAAAAATATCCAGGCAGCCATAGATACAGCTGTAAAAGCTGTGAATAAGGTAAACCCAAAGGTGAGTAAAAACCACTGGATCTCCACCGCCTCATCCGAACTGATAGATGCTAGAAGACTTATTCCGGCGAGCTCCGAATTCAATGAGGAGCGAAAGCTGCACAAGAGGAAACTTACGAAAAGTCTCCGCAAGGACCGTGAACAGTGGTGGGCGACAAAAGCCAAAGAGATGGAGAAAGCTTCGAGGATAGGCAACACCAGGCAACTCTTTGGACTCATCAGGGAAACGGGTGGGAGAAGACAAATCATCAGTGAGACAATCTCGGAAAAAAATGGCACTATAATTAGCTCCCAGGATAGACGACTGGATCGTTGGAAAGAGCATTATGAGGAGCAGTTTAATTTGCCCACAGCCACGCTCAACCTTCCGAGCATCCAACACCTCCCTGAATGGGATATAAACACAGGTCCTCCGTCACTAACTGAGGTTACTAAAGCTGTCACCAATCTGAAACTAGGCAAAGCAGCGGGACCTGATGGAATGACTCCAGAGGTATTTAAGTACGGTGGAGACAGCTTACTGTCCGGATTAACTGAGGTACTAGGCAGCGTCTGGGAATCAGAAGAAGTCCCATCGGGTTGGTGTAAGTCACTGATTATCCCCATATACAAGAAGGGAGACAAGTCTTCCTGTGATAATCACAGAGGGATTAGCTTGACTAATATAGTATCTAAAGTCTTAGGCTCAATAATCATGCGTAGACTGAGTGGTGCTCGGGAAGCACAAACACGAGAGAGCCAGGCAGGCTTTAGACCAGGAAGAGGGTGTATTGATCATATCTTCACCCTCCGACAGATTCTAGAACATAGGCATTCCTACCGGCGTCCAACAGTCATTATATTTCTTGACCTAAAGGCAGCATTCGACTCTGTCGATCGGGAAGTTCTCTGGAGATGCTTGGCTGTAAAGGGAATTCCAAGAAAATATATTGCACTGATTAAGGCACTCTACTCGTACTCATACAGCCAGGTGAGGGCTTACGGCGAGCTGTCATCTGAACTGATGACGACCAGTGGTGTCCGTCAAGGATGCCCATTATCTCCTTTTCTATTCAACTTCATCATAGATGTGTTAATGGACTTAACCCTAGGTGACTTCAGCGACTCAGGGATTGACTTGCTACCGGGGAATAATCTCGTTGACTTGGAATATGCAGACGATATAGTCCTTCTAGGCGAAGACGCTGACGAAATGCAGAGTCTTCTAAACACCTTGAGCCGCAATCTACGAATGTTTGGCATGCGATTCGCTCCCGCCAAATGCAAGATGATGTTACAGGACTGGACTACATCGACGCCTAGTTTAAAAATAGGAAGTGAAGTGGTAGAGCACGTTGACCGCTTCACTTATTTGGGAAGTACCATCAGCCCCAACGGGCTGATCTCTGACGAAATCTCAGCACGAATACAAGGGGCTCGTTTCGCATTTGTTAGTTTACGCCGACTCTGGCGTAGACGAGATGTTCGACTATCGACCAAAGGGCGGGTGTACTGCTCATCAGTCCGCTCCGTCCTCCTTTATGGTTGTGAGACCTGGCCACTGAGAGTGGAAGACATGAAAAGACTAGCTGTCTTTGATCATAGGTGCCTGCGTTCTATTTCCCGTGTAAAGTGGCATAATAAGGTGAGCAACATGGAGGTTAGGCGTAGAGTTCTAGGTAAACAGGGGAAATCAATCGACGAAGTCGTGAAGCTACAAAGACTGAGATGGTTAGGACATGTGTTACGTATGCCAAGCCATCGCCTCCCTCGACGAGCAATGTTAGCGGATATAGGGTCAGGCTGGAAAAAAGCTAGCGGCGGTCAAACAAAAACTTGGCATCAGTCAATGAAATCCACAACAGTTGGTCTAAGCCACGTAGAAAGGTGTAGACTTCCAGGCTGGGGTCCTCGGGACGGTAAAAATCTATGGTTGGAAACAATTGGTGACATGGCTCAAAATCGTTCTCAGTGGCGCAGATGCATCCACTCCCTGTGACTTATGATCTTCAATGAAACTGTTTTGTATTTCTTTATTACTCCTTTGTCTCACACCTCTGCTCACTGTTTCTATTATGCTTTTCTTGTACTTTCTTCTCTTGCTTCGCGTGCTACACGGAATGTGGCGACTTGAACTTCCGCACATTTGTGCAAAGTTCTATGTCGAAAACAGACAGACAGACAATCTAAAATGGCTGCAAAATCTCGTCATCTAAACTCACATCGGCAGTTCAATTCATGTTTTAAGTGTATAGTATTGTTTTAGTGTAGATACGAGCACTAATCATATATTATAGGCAGTTTATTGGGATCATTGCTCAGGTGAACAATTCAAGACAATAAATCCGATGAGTGATTTGGCTTCACGAACAACTCAATCTCCTTATCACACAAAATGATGAGATTTAAAGACATTCATGTATCAAAATAAAACGGGCACGCATACAGCAATGAATTATGCATAAATATGTGACGGTGGTTCAGCAGTAGAACACTCGCCAACCAAAAAGCATCTTTAGTAGG